GGGATCGTTCTGTGCAAAGTGCAGCCCCCCCACACCACCACCCCCCCCCCCCAGCCCCCCACCAGCACTCAATACAGATACTAAACCCATTACGTTGCCTATTTCTAAGAGAAGAATCTCCCGCACTAACCCCATCAAATAATAATTCGCCCACAAACATACAGTCAATTCAATTTACAGTACATTGTGTGAAGAGCTTTGAAGTGTCGAACAGACTTGAAAGGCACTACAGCAAATGCAGGGATTATTATAATGAATAATAATGATGTTCGTTCCATTTGATATCACGCTTTATCACGTCGTTGAGACGTTTCAAATCGCTTCACATGATATATATTGTAAATCCCCAGCTATCCTACTTCCACACACATGCACCACCACACACACACATACCACACACACACACACACCCAACCCTGAAAAGTGTGGTCCATTGGGATTGGGAATTTGAATGTAATTTGATCTGAGAGAGAGAGAGGGGGAGAGAGAGAGAGATTCGGTACCTGAAACTGGGAAATCAATGTCTTTCTTGGGAACAGTCCCAGCGCCGAACTCAGCCGCTCCTTCGCTCTTCCTGGTGGATTCTAGGCAAGAAGTTTCGCTGATGTGTTGACATTCGCTCAGGGCGCGTCTGTCTTGTGTGTGTTTACCCAATCGATTTCTCGCGCATTATCCCAAGCGCTTGCGACGCACGGAATAGAGATGTGGCAAAGAGAGAGAGAAGGTGAGGGAGGGGTGAGAGGAGGGGATGGGGTTGGGAGGGAGGGAGGGAGGGAGTGGGGGGGGGGGGGTGTTGAGAGGGCGGTTTCTGGGTGATCTGGATCAAAGGAGAAGCAAAATTGTCATCTCTTCAGTGAATGTGTGTCCAGTTGGCACAGATCAGCCTTGGATCACTCTCTAGTTGGTTGGGGGTTGTCCAGGGCGGAGATACAGGTCTACAGGCGTTGGGTTTGGGGCACAGTCAGAACCCAAACACAGGCGATCTCAGAGCTTAACAGTGTCCGTCAGGTTTCGGTCGAAATCTCTCCCCATCTCCTTGTCCAAAGCCAAACCGCTTTCTCTTTCTCTTTTTTTTTTTCCTTTCTCTCTCTTTTTTTCCTTTCTCTCTTTTTTTTCCTTTCTCTCTCTTTTTTTTTTCTTCCTCTCTTTTTTTTTTTTCCTTCCTCTCGCTCCTCCCCGGGAACCTTGTTTGGTGCCAAGCGCACAGGTTGGAAACCCTTCGAACGAGCAGATCTTCGGGGAAATCGGGATCAATGTCCTTTTAATCCGAGATGGGTCTTGTGCGGTCCTTGTGAGCCGAGGACAACCTTGCCCCAGCGAGACATCCTTCCTTTAAGCCCTTTTTTTTTTTTTTGTAAGCCCCCCACTCTCGCCCACCAGCACCACCCAAACACAACCCCTCCTACACCCAGACAACCGGTTCACACACAGTCTCTTCCGATCCTCGCATCAGTGCTGTGAGCAGTAGTGGGGCACTCGCCTACTCCTCCTCCTCTCTATAAAAATATATATATATATATATATATATCTAGGAATCTCCTGCTCACAGGGTAAGAGAGGCTGTGTGGCTTTCTGTAAGCACTGCACACTTCTTTACCCACTGACACACACACACAGATACCTTCTCTCTACCTCTCCCATCAGAGTCCCTCGCTCACACAAAACAGCTGACTCAATACAACTTGGATCTAGTTAGATAAATAACGATACCAGGTCTACCATTGGATATTGAGTAGTGATGGAAAATGCTTGATGTGATTATCATCCCCCCCACCTCCTCCTCTCCACCCACCCCCACCCTTTCTCTCTTCCCCACCACCCCACCCCCTCAAAAAAATATTAATTGCAAATGTTATCACCAACGCACCCAGCACACACACACACACATAATTCTATGTATCTATGTATCTATCTGTCTGTCAGCTCTCTGCCCCTGGCCGGTTTGGTTGGTTGTGGATTTGAGTGAATAGGTCGAGTAATAATCGTTGCATTTGATATAGCGCCTTATCACGTCTTCGAGACGTCTCAAAGCGCTTCGAGGATAGAAGATCATCAAAGCAGGTCGAGAGAGGTGTGTGTATAAAACCACAAGATTGGTTATAATGGGAATGGAAGAAAACAACAGATAAGGTGGTCCCTATTGGGTGTATATATATATATATATTATAATAATAGTAATCCTTACATTTGATTCAGCGCGTCGTTGAGACATCTCAAAGTGCTTCACACACAATATACTGCGAAGTGATTTGACGGTGTATTTTGTGGGTGAAAATAGTGTGTTAAACACGATCACACCTTTTAATCTGATTTACTCCCGTTTCCACCCCTCCCACCCCCAAAAAAATCTCCAACTGAAGCTATCAATTGGCTGGATCAACAGAACTCGTTCGTTCACCTCCCACCCACACCCCCCACCCTCCCCACCCCCACCCCCCGCCCCCCACTTTGACAAACACACACTGAAATGTGTCTCAGTTTCAGTGCCTGTCACTGTCACGCAGAGTGGGGAGTGAAAAGAGTGTTGTTGTTGCCATCAGCGTTAAAATACGGTCTCTGTTTAGCGAAAGATGTTGTATTTCAAGGAGGGGGGGGTGCGAAAATCAATCTATTCACCAGTTTTCTTCAGGGCACACAAGTAAGTAAATGCAAGTTATTGTTTTATTGGTAATAATAATTTATTGGTCATTGGTAATAATAATTTCTCTTGACTTGACTGGTCACTGTGATTAATTATCAAAAGACACAGCTAAATCCTTAATGCCACAAACCCCCTTCTCTCTGAACACTTTCCTCAGAAGTACAGTACACTACGGTTATCCCAAATGGGTGACATTGCGCCATTTCGTAACAGATTCCATGTGATAATTATTTTTCAAAACATTGTTTTTTTACACACACACACACACACTGAACTGGAGCAAAACCACCAACGTGTGAACTTTATTCCGTCTTCTCTCCCCCTCCCCCCACTCTTCCCACCAGTCTCTCCCCCCAATTCTCTACCCTCCACCCCCACCCACCCACACAACCCCCTCTCCCTCCCCCCACACACACATAACTCCAGACACATACATTTCCGATACCCTTACATCTGAAGTAGAAGCGTGAAACGATTAAATGCTTATTATTCTAATCGAGCCTGAGGGGGGAATTGGGGAGGGAGGAATTGGGGAGGGGGGAATTGGGGAGGGGGGAATAGGAGAGGGATAAGAGACCCCAAACACTCCACACCCACAGCCCAGGGCATGGTGTTGGGACCAGAGTGAAGAGAAGGCGTTGGTTTATGCTTTTATTTCTCACTTCACGACACACAATATACAACGCCCACTCTCCCTCCCTATCCCCCCACCCCCATCTCTCTCTCTCTCCCTCCCCAGTAAGAGCCACACAGATCACCGACAGTACATATATATATATATCTTTATATATTGTATGACTATTAATGAGAGAAAATGCATCGTTAAATGTTCTCAGAGAGAGAGGGGGAGAGCAACATGTGTTGGTCAGGGAGAGGCGCCTCTCCTTGGATGGTCCTCTCTTAAACGCACCGACAGAAGCGGTGGGATTTGGAGAGTCAGAATCTGACAATTCCTCCCTCTCCCCCCCCCCCCCCCCATTAAAAAAAAAGTTACCCAGAAAAGGTAGGACTGGGTTGATCTCAAATCCTTTTCGATCGCTTGGGATCCTCCATTCCTTGTCAATTTCAAGCAAGATTCCCCCCCTCCACCTCTCTCTCTCTCTCTCTCTCTCTTCCCCCTCCCCTCTCTCTCTCCCCCCCCCTCTCTATCTTCCCCCCTCCCCCCTCTCCCTTCCCCCCTCTTGGCAGCGATACCAAAGTTAACTACTTTGCCAAGAGCCCAGTGATTTAAACATTTCCTACTCTCGTAAGAGGAGAGAAAGAGAGAGAGAGAATCCTGACCCACGTTATACAGAATTGGAAACTCTGGTGACTGAGCTCTGGTTGTCTATGTGTGTGTGAGTGTCTGTGTGTGTATATGTGTGAGTGTCTGTATGGGTGTGTCTGTGTATGTGTGAGTGTATGTGTGAGAGTGTGTGTGTGTGTCTGTGTGAGAGAGTGTGTGTGTTAGAGAGTGTGTGTGTGAGTGTGTGTCTGTGTGAGTGTGTGTTAGAGTGTGTGTGTGAGAGAGAGTGTGTGAGAGAGTGTGCGTGTTAGAGTGTGTGTGTGTGTCTGTGTGAGTGTGTGTTAGAGTGTGTGTGTTAGAGTGTGTGTGTGAGAGAGAGTGTGTGAGAGAGTGTGCGTGTTAGAGTGTGTGTTAGAGAGAGTGAGTGTTTGTGTCTGTGTTAGAGAGAGTGTGTGTGTGTGTGCGTGTGAGAGAGAGAGTGTAGTGACCACACTGGCAGTGGCGGCTGGTTTCCCTGAGGCTGGGGAGACAGACAGACAGACAGACAGACAGACAGACAGACAGACAGACAGACAGACAGACAGACAGATAGACAGACAGAGCGCTGTCCGCGCTGAGAGGTCCTGAAATGCATTAGAAACAAACATCGTTTTTCTATTTCTCTGTGTGTGTGTGAGAGCGAAACTCAGGCTGAGCCTCACTGTGAGTGTGTGACATATCCTCCCACTGAGGGGGGCGGGGGGGGGAGATGATGGGAATCAAGGGTAAGTTTACCCCCTCACCCCCTCTTCTCTCTCTCTCTCTCTCTGCTTCTGTCTAGTTCACCACCCCCTCTTGTCTCTGATTTTCCTTCTGTCTCTCCTTGTCTCTGTCTCTCTCTTTGTCTCCCTTCATGTCTCTCGTTCACCCTGTCTCTGTCACACTCTCTCTCTCTCCTCCTCTCTCTGTATCTCTCTTTCTCTCTCTCTCTCTTTCTCTCTCCCTGTGTCTCTCTCTCTCTCTCCATCTCTCTCTCTCTCTCCCTGTGTCTCTCTCTCTCTCCATCTCTCTCTCTCTCTCTCCATCTCCCTCTCTCTCTCTCCATCTCTCTCTCTCTCTCTTGCTCCACGTTCCATCCTCAATTTGCTCACTTACCTTCTCTCCCGAGGGATGGGCGGATGGTCCTCAGAATTCTCTCCCCAAAGACCCCTCAGTTCACGGGGTTCTCAGACCCCCAAACCGGTGTCCGTCACAGGGGGAAGGGGTGGGGAAGAGTGATGGAGTGGGGGTGGGGGGGGTTGGAAAGAAACCTCCACGGGTTCCCCGGAGTCACTTGTATAGAAATCCAGAGGCCCAAGTCGGCCTGAGAGAGTGAGAGGCTAAATATGTGTGTGTGTGTCTGTGTTACTCGCTGCGCCTTTCAGTTCTGCGTCAAGCGGTTGGGAAGGGAAGGAGAGGAGAGAGAAGAGAGGAGAGAGAAGAGAGAGGAGAGGAGAGAGAAGAGAGAGGAGAGAGAGGAGAGAAGGAGAGAGAGGAGAGAGGAGAGAGAGGAGAGAGGAGAGGAGAGAGAAGAGAGAGGAGAGAGAGGAGAGGAGAGAGAGGAGAGGAGAGAGAGGAGAGAGAGGAGAGGAGAGAGAGAGAGAGAAGAGAGAGGAGAGAGGAGAGAGAGGAGAGGAGAGAGGAGAGAGAGGAGAGGAGAGAGAAGAGAGAAGAGAGAGGAGAGAGAAGAGAGAGGAGAGAGAGGAGAGAGAGGAGATGCTGATGTGTCTGGACTTTCAGGTGGAAAGTGGAAGGGGGGGGAAGGCTATTACTGTGTGGGAACCCGGTGGGGTTCTGGAGACGCGACTTGCCTTGTCAATGAGCTCTGACTGTTGTCAGACTGTACCTGGGAGGATGAAATGGAGAGGGCGATGGGAGGGGAAGGAAGGGAAGAGGGTGTGTGTGTGTGTGTGTATGGGGGGGGTATGGGGGGGGAGAACACGTTTATCTCCGTGACCGAGTTCTTAATACAGTATTTGCTCACTTAGTGCGGTGGAGACACGTTGAAATGGGATTGAGAGAGACACAGACACAACACACGTTGAGAGAGGAGAAGCGATGAGATCAGATATAATCCGCTTTGTTATTGTCAGTCCTTAAATGGTTGTGGAGAGAAACAAATAAACAAATACCTCATTGTAATCCTACCACCGACCCCCTGAAAAACACACACACACACACACACACGCTCTACATTTACCCCCACCCCTCAAACACACACACACACTACATTTACCCCCACCCCTCAAACACACACACACACACACACTACATTTACCCCCACCCCTCAACACACACACACACACTCTCTCTACATTTACCCCCACCCCTCAAACACACACACACACACACTCTACATTTACCCCCACCCCTCAAACACACACACACACTCTCTACATTTATCCCCACCCCTCAAACACACACAGACACACACAATCCACACTACTTTCCCCCCCTCCCCTCCCCAATTCCATCCAGAGATACCATCTGGGAAAGCGACTCTTGCAGATTCACTTCTTATTTCAACAAAGACTTGCACAGCTCGATACTATGAATGGCAATGCTATAACAATTATCTATCTATCTATCTATCTATCTATCTATCTATCTATCTATCTATCTATCTATCTATCTATCTATCTATCTATCTATCTATCTATCTATCTATCTATCTATCTATCTATCTATCTATCTATCTATCTATCTATCTATAATTTTCTTTTGAAGGAAGGGGGTGGGGGAAGAAATCGTGAGTCCCAGGGCAGTGATATTCGCTCAGAAACACAAGGGCAACTAGGTCGATAGGTGGAGCATTAGGATTTTTTCTGATTTATTCAAATCCTGGCCTTGTTTGCTGACTAAACCTATTAAAGACTCTTAAATCTAAAGAGCTGGCGCTCCGGCATGTGAGTTAGTTATTACTGTGTTCATCAGTGAGTCACACCAAACTGAAACCTCAGTGTATTGGGATCCACCTTCTCTGTATTCTACCCTCTATCTCTCTCTCTCTCTCTGGGCTGAATTAACTAGTGCCTTGCCCAATATTAAAACAATCCATAGCACGTTGCAAGCCCTAGTGGATGGAGAGCATCCAATATATCTTCACCTTCTACCTTTAGCATTCACACACACTCCCTCCCTCACTCACTCACTCACTCACTCACACAGCCTCACGTGTTAGGCTACAAATGTAAGGATCATTATTATTATTACAGTCAGCGTTTCCCAGAGTGAATGAGTGAGTGAGTGTGTGGGAGGGAGGGAGGGAGTGACATTCATTTCAGAGAGAGGGATAAGAGAGACCTTGCTTTCTATGCATCAACCTACGCCTTGGGACGTCCTCCCCCGACCTGAAAGGCGCTCTACAAATGTAATTTCATGTGGTTGTTTCTTGTCTCTCCAGTTAAAACCGACTCATTAGAAAGAAATAATAATAAAAATAATCCATGTGTTTGATATAGAGCCCTATCGGGTGGTTGAGACGTCTCAAAGCGCTTCACGGAATATACTGTAAAGTGAGGCGACTGTGTATTTTGCGGGCGAGACCCCATTTCAGTTCAACCAGCGCCATAAAATCCATCAACTGTCACTCGTGTGGCGTTGACTTTGGTTGGTTAATGTCACGGTTTAAGACGGGTGACGGCGAGGGGGGGAGGGGTTCAGGGAGGGCGAGTTCCCAGGGGTGGTTGAGGTTGAAAGAAGCCATATTTTATTTTAAAAATGCCTTAATAAAGGTTGGGAGGGGTTGGTTGTTGTTGTTGTTTTGCAAATGGTGGTGAAAGTGGCTGTGGCAGAGAATTGGTTGTTTTTTGGGCGTTTCCTGGAGGAACCTCAGAGCAGTTACTGGGACACGTGGCAAAATTCTGTCCCGTGGAATGTTTTATATGAATTGCACTTTTTCTCGCTGTGTGTCTTGATCAACAGGTACATCGGTCATTGTTTTCGTGGCTGTACGTGGGACCTTGCTGTGAGCGAATTGGCTGCTACATTTGCCTACAAAATGCAGAGTCACAAAGGTCGAAAGATTGTGGGTTCAAGCCTCCCAACAACCACAACAACAGCTTGTATTTATATAATGCCTTTCACACAGGGGTAGCATCCCGGGACGCACAGTACTCGTGCAGTAACAAGGTGGAGCCTTCATTGTGGGAAGATGTCATCCTTTAGATGAGATGCTATACCAAAGTTCCATCTGCCTTTGGTTCAGGTGGATGTTAAAGATCCCACAGTGCTATTAGGCAAGTAAAGAGAAACCATTTCCCCCCAGCTTCCAACTGAGCCACTATGCTTAACAGCAATTAGCTTTAAGTGCCTCAAGATCTTTTGACGTGCTGAGGCCACTGTAAAAAAATGCTAGTCTATTCTTTCCTACATAAGTGGCCCTGAGCTAATGAGAGGGGATGATAATCAGCCAGCATTATATTACTGAACACCAGGAATCTGAGACAGACATGGAAATGTGTGTGGGGGGTGGGGGTTGTTTGTCTGTTCATGTCCACACACACACACTCACACATCTCAATCACTGCACTTACTCACTGCCCAGCCTCGCACAAGTAGAATGAACGACCACTTGTGGCAAACTACCCGAGAGAGAGAGAGAAGTCACAAGGAACCATGTGCCAGCATGAGTCAGAGCCTTCATCAGAGAAAGGAAGAAAAAATATACAGTATAGATTTTCAATACGTTCTTCAAATTCACTCCCACTCCCAAAATGTGCATTTATTGCCCATAAAATATACAGTTATTTCACTTGTAGTGTATTCTGTGAAGCTCTTTGAGACATTTCAAAGATGTGATAAGCCATTATATCAAATGCAAGGAGTATTATCATTATGATTTTTCATGTGCCTGTTATCTTGCTGTGTTACCCTTCTATTCCCACAAGCAATTTATGTAAAGAGAAAAAATATATCCAGTCTCCAAAATAATTTTCATTTCATCCAAAGAATGTCCGCAAGCCTGGAATTCCAAAGGGATGTTTGCCAGCTGTTTGGAGTCAGCCATTCAGTGATGTGAAATGAATAATTTGTCTGTCTCTGTCTCCAAACCATGATATCACACTGCCTCCTGCTGTCTGAAATTGCAGGGATATTAGCTCCCAAGTGTTTTTAATGTCTTTTGCAGGACAGGGGTTGACAGTGACAGGCACAGACCTCTTGTCCTAATTACTCCCTCGCGTAAACCTCTCTTTACAAAATCTACTTTAAGTGAAGTGCTGGGATGTTGGCACTTCTGGGTTCCACAGGCAGTGGAAGAGAACAGCGTGGGATAAGCAGCTGGTGGCAAAAAGATCAATTATCTCACCAAAGGAGTGAAGAGCAGTGAAAAACATTCAACTTTAAGGTGTCTTCACTGCCAAGATGAAATAGAAATTGTCCTCAGCACGCAGTGATTTGAGGATTGAACGTAAATTGTTTGAGCGGCTGAATTTCACTTTAAATTCAAAATATCTGCCTTCCCTGTAGCACCTTCTGAAAACCCGCTTCCAAAAGGTTTCATCTCTTTCGCCCGCAAAATATACAGTCAATTCGCTTTACAGCGTATTCTCTGAAGCACTTTGAGACGTCTCAAAAACGTGATAAGCCGCTATGTCAAACACAAGGATCATTTATTATTATTTGATGGTGCCTTTGTTCAGCACTCTCAAACACCCCCCTGCTCTCTTCCTCATCACGGTTACAAAGTGCTTTGAAATGTTCCTGCTACATGACAGAACGCACTATAAATATAAGTTGTTGCCATGGGCACTTGGTTCTAAAAAAAAATGCTGGAGTCTAACCAGCTAAAACTCTAACCGCCCATTTCTCTCCAAAGTCCTGGAATGAGTTGTCGCGTCCCAGCTCCGCTCCTTTCTTTCTCGCCATTCCCTCCAATCCAGCTTCCGCGCTGCCTGGTCAAAGTCATTAATGACATTCTGAACATCTGTGATCAGGGATCCCTCTGCCACCTTGTCCTCCTCGACCTCTCTACCGCCTTCGACACTATCGACCACTCCATCCTCATACACTGCCTCTCCGCTTTACTCAATCTTCACGGATCTGCCCTTGCCTGGTTCAATTCCTATCTCTTTCACCATCTCCACTTTGTTGCCACTAACGGTTTCTCCTCCAGGCCCCGCACTGTCACATCTGGCGTCCACCAGGGCTCTGTCCTTGGCCCTCTCCTCTTTAATATCTACATGCTCCCCCT